TCCCGTCTGAATCGGATGACTCATGCCATTGTAATATTGATCCGTTCACCAACGCCGATTCACCACAGAAACGTGTACGTCCATCAGAAGATCCCCGTTGCTCTTAATAGAATTACATTTCGTGGCACCGAATTCAGCACTGTTTTCGTTGTCGAATAAGCAAATTTGGCACGTACCCGTCCGGCCCTCGCTGACCGTTTTCGACTGACAGAAACGTAGAAGGTGTAAAAGCAAGTGGCGTCCAATTAGCGGTCACCGTTGCTGACCCTAACTCACCGATTCCCGTTCTCAGCCTACATTTTCGATTCGCGGAAAAATCCGCTCACGACCTGTCTGTCGCGCCGAAAATCGTAAGTCACCGGACTTGTTTCCCTTTTCAACATGGAGGAGGAGTTCACTCTGACGAACGATCGACTCTTGTACCCTGTAGACGCGTTGTTTATGGAAATTCCACCGGGGAGTATTTGCGTGGAAAAACAATCGAACTGATCGAGACCGTGTTTGCTCTGTCGCAATCAATTTTCTCGGCTGGTGTTGCCATTCGGTACCCCGCTGCTTTTGGTTGCTACTTTGTTTTTCACGCTGGTATACCGCGGTGAGAGTAACGCGTTGCTCTCCTTGAAATTGTTACAGCGGAATGGTGGTTGTTGGAAGATTGGTTTGAAGAAGTTTCGAGTAGGGTTTGGTGTGAGTTTTTCTCATCTGAACGTGCCATGTGTTGCACGATGACTTTGAAACTATTGCTATTTATTTTATGCCACCACTACTTCTTCCTAATCTTTACGGTTGTGCCTTTTGAAGTGATTTAGGAGAATGTAGAATTGAGTCGCTGAGAAGCTAAGATGGCTAACTTCATTTTTTCCAATTTTTCTAATTTCTGTCATCAGAGTAAGTGATTGATACTCAAGTTTTTATAAATGGAATGAATTTGATAAATTTTGTTTCGTGGAGTTGGTCACTTGGGTTCCTCAGCAGCTCGATCCTCCTCGATAAAAGTATTACGAGCGATAAGAATCTTTCGACATATACTTCCGTTGCAAGTGATCAATTGGAAACGACTCCAGAGTACATTGATAATCCGAAACGTTCTTAAACCAGAACAGCAAATTTTATCTTTCATCGTTGTGTGGCAGGGAGCACTTGGCTCGACGCCATATCGCGGCGCTTATTCTCGACACCGCGATCTCGCGCCCTCATCAAAGGCAAACGTAACACCTCCTGCTACACCAGAAATCATGTGGACCATTACATTTTTCAGATAAAGAAAAAAAAAAGAAGGACGCCCCTCCTCGTCCTTATAAACTGCACCCATTAATTTTCAGATACGTTCGAACGATGCCACGAAATCGTACTTCACGTCGTCGAACTCCTGGCAAAAATCTCATTTCGCCCCCCTCTTCTGCCAGATATCGCGGTGGTATTTTGGCAAAGGCCCCAGCTCGATATTTCCAGGCACCCTTCTATTTTTCAACAGCCCTCTCGCTAGCACTTGGAATTTTCGGTTGAAACGAAACGTGGATGGTGTCTCGTAAGATGGCCACCGCGAGCGTCGAACGTGAAAATCGTTGGCGTCTCGCGACGTTCTAACGTCCGACCACCCTCGGCCCTTCACGCCGCGAGAATTTATTTTTCTCGAGGGGTGCGCGCTACGTGACACCGAAGCGACACAACACCCTCCGAGAGGGGGAGGGAGAGAGAGAGAAATAGAGAACGAAAGAAATAGGGAGAGAAGAAGAGAAAGAGAGAAATAGAGAGAGAAACCGAGAGAGAGAGAGAGAGAGAAATAGGGAGAGAAAGAGAGAAAGGAAGAAATCGGGAGGAAAGAGAGAAAGGGAGAAATAGAGAGAGAGAGAGAAAACGGAGAGAGGAGGGCGGCAATAACCCCTTCGCGTTTGAAACGAATCACCGGCAGAACGAGGGTCAATATCTAACCCTTATTGCTGCAAGTGTCTGCGCCCGCGAACGACCTGGAGAATTTCGCGGAGGGAAACGTTCCTCTTCTTCGTAGGGGTAGGGTGGGAAAAATTCACGAGGGTTTGGGGAATATGTTTGAAGAGGATTGAATGCGATGGGATATAGGGATACGATATTGGGAAGTGTGTCGATGGGCAACGAGGGAATTCGCGTGATATTGGTTAGTGTAATGGTATGTGCATGGAAACTAATTCTGGGAAATTTATCGATAGCCAAATAATGGAAATTAGTGTATTTCGGAATAGTGTTGTGATGACGCGACTGATACTGTTGAGAGGTTTATAGATTGTTTGGGGAGAATTAGTGTCACACGGTGTGATATGATAATTGATGATGTGGAGGTTGCTGATAGATACGATATGTAGCTCTTTCAGAAAATAAGTTTAATCTGTTTTATACTTTTAAGTCTGCAATTATTATTTTCCCATACAAAAATGATTTTGTTTGATTTTTCTACCAATATCATCTGTAAGAATACAATGATATAGTTCTTTCATGTTAAAATGTAGTAGCAATAACTATAGCAACATATACATATGTTGGTCATGTATAACAGTCATAAAATAAGATAAAAACCAAGTAGTTTCCAGCTAAATAATTATTTGCATAATAAATAAATGATCGAAAATGCTAAATTTTTGTCCTAAAATGTCGATAATGATACGTAACATCAACAAGCAATTCAGAAGTTAGGTTATGTTCGTAAAAAAAAAATGAGAATTGCTTAGAGGAAAGTTGTGCTATCTGGTGGTTAAAATAGGAAAGATATAACTAGAGGTAAATATACTGAAATAAGCTCGGTAACTTCGGGTCAGAAAGGAATAAGGGAATTTATGTAATTCTTTTTTTGGAGGAGGAACGTAGGAGCATAAATCCTTAAAACAGTAAATTTAAGAAGAAACCTAATTGGAAGAGTAAAAACTTATTTATAATCCCTCACGAGCCCTGTAGCATTTCTTCATAATCCCACTTATTTTACTCCTAGTAGTATAAAACGGCACTGCGCTAAAACCCCATCCGAAATACAACTATATCAGAATATTTAGTGAAATAAAGAACGACCTTAATCCTTAGTTACTGGATGAGCAACTCGGGCTTTGTACAAATTTCCAGTGAAAACAGAAACCGTTATCGACTGAGAACCACCAGAAAACGAACCATCCGCCCTAACCTCACTTAACCTCTTGCCTTTTAATGACGAATCATACTCGTGGCATAAGTTATCGTTGAGATATTACATAAGTAATTCCTATTTTTAATAAACTTTCATTTTAACTCTAACATTAATTTTTCACTTGACATATTGCTAAAGCAATGTGTACCTAAGTATTAAGACAGATAACCATTTAAAAATCGTTAAGGCAAGGTTTCAAATACCCAGCAAAATTTTACCATCGCTTCATATACACAATTCCGTGTTGTAACTCGCTACCTTAAATAAGATCCTCGAACAATCGTGTCTCGCGAAAGAAATTCTATACATCGACACCTACGCACGATAACCAAATACCTAAATCATAGCGAAATACATTTTTCAAACAATAAAAGCCCCTCTTCCTCTCTGACAGTGCTCGAATATGGTTATCTACGTTTTTCAATTTTATATACGAACCACCACGTTACCTATGAATTTTTACGGTCGTTCGATGATCGTAAAAATTTCTCGTGACCGCGTCTCGTCTATATACCTGGGACATAAGCAATTCATGATCGATAACGGAGACAGTATTTGGAAGAAGACGAGAGAGGAGCTGGGAACGGAGAGAAGAAGATTCTTCGCCGGAAATTACGCTCTACCCGTGGAGACAGCGGTTCCGGTTCGGCTGTACATAAGCCATCTCTCTGTAAGAAGACACCAGGAGCACTCACACGCGCACAGCACGTATACGACACGTTCGTGTACACATTCATACGTATGCACAGTCTCGTAACTGGTGCTCGGCGTTCGGAACGATTTATTAACGCCACTTTCAGCATCGATAAGTCATCGTTCTTCCTGACCGACGCGAAAACACATAAATTTTTTGCACGCTAGCGCCGTGAATATTTCACGGCAGGAAATTCATTGCCTGCACGGGCGCCGCGCCATTCGTTCGTTCGTTCGTTCGTTCGTCGGCTAAATGTATCGGTCCTTCTGTTGGAAAATGTTACGTACACACGCGTGAACATGTGCCCAGAAATGCAGTTCGATCTCGCGAAGCATTATCTCTTTCGACGCGAATTTAAATGGACAGGGACGAAAGTAGTGTCGATTCGCATAAAATCCGCTAGAAATGATGGAAACCGTTCGGCGAAATTACCGATGGACGACGGTGCCGAGTCGATGATGGAGGTTATGGGAAAGTAATAAATCGATTTTAATCGACTAACGGTGGAGAATCATTTTGCGTTGTAGCTTGGAAAAAATTGACCGTTGCAGCGAAAAAATGAATAATGCGTACGTAGAATCATCTATTTTAATCTACACGTAACTTTATTTTAATATGGAAAAGTTGATATATCGCGAGAGAAACGATAGACGTTGGTTAGAAGGGAATTCTGAATTCGATTATACTCTCATATATTCCAAAGTAAAAATCGTTTTTTCTAACACTTCTGTCTACAGATTTTTCTCCCAGACTGTCGACGATCTTTCAGGTTTCCCAACTTCAATATTTTCAATATAACCTGTTCGTCGAGATATAATGAAAATCTAATCGAAAAACATAAGGTTCGGAAAAGTTATCGAGAGCTGATTAGAATTTCATAGAGAGAAACTGCTGCAGAGTTCTAACCTAAATGTCGAAGAACTTTTCGAAGTGTACAAACCGTATCTTAATATTTATAACTTCAAACAGCATAATGTACACAGTAGTTTCGTTGAGAAAAAAGAAAAAAACACTTCACAATTTCTCACAATAAGCACTCCACGAAACGAATACATTTTACTAACCTATAATTTTGCAAATAGAATTCCAACATAGTTTCCACAATCACACATCCAGACGACGGCATACTTAACAACGTTCAATTTATTCTGATTGCAGCTGGTGGGCGGCGAATTCGACATGGAACTGAACTTCGTGATCGAGGAAGCACAGAATATCAGGCACATGCTGGAACTGGTCGATCATTGCCCGGCCAATCTCCAGGTAAGCAATGGGCGTTACGTTCGCCTCGATCAAACTAATTATCCAAGCGTCCCGGCTGTTATATCCCGCCGCAAATTTGATTCTCCCAAGGAACACACGATCCTTTACGATCAATACGTCAAACGTAGACTCCGTAATTAATTTCTTACTCGCGTATTAATACCACTTTTTCTCCTCCAACAACACGTGTTGTCCAGATGGCGCCGTCTCACTGTTCAGGTTACAGCGTTTCATAACACAAGTGAAGTTAGCCTCGCCTGACTAGCGTAACGTGAGGTTATTCGATATAAAGTTTCCAGATGGCGCCGTCTCACTGTTCAGGTTACAGCGTTTCATAACACAAGTGAAGTTAGCCTCGCTTGACTAGCGTAACGTGAGGTTATTTGACCTCATTGGTTATTTGGATAGTTTGACATTTATACATAATTTTACGATTACTACGATTGAACAAGTAAGGTTCGATAACTATTACGACGTATATCTTGTACTATTAGTAGAGTCGCATAATTTTCGATAACACGTTAATCTGCACATCTGGGGTATAATTCCATCAATTATACATGCTCACTGTACGGCTTCGTTTATAATTCACGACACTGCGTATGTTCCATTAACGTTATATTTAGAAATGCACACTGTTGCCCGTTAAACTGATAGTTAAGCGTGTATTTGTGTAAAAAGGCAGTATAAGTACGATCGTCACGAAACTCGTTTATTTTAACCGTAGTTCCACTTTTCACTAGAGAATTGTATAAATTTAACGTCTAATACCACCGAACGATATAAATTCTTATTATCCGTAGACGTCGCTGAGGACAACTTAAGAAATCGAAAAATTTCATCAGGTTTACCAACGTAACGTGTACAATACGTAGTTATATAGGCCTATGAACTCTGTGCACGCGGCACGTACGACGTTCCTTTTTCTCGAGCTTGCGACTAGAGGAAAAAAGCGGCAGACTCAAAGCCCTGAACACACGCGCGACTCGAAAAAGGATTGAAATCCATTACGCGGCAAATTTCGTTCGGAGCGGAAAAAAGGCGCGCAGAATGCAAACTTTTTTCCTCACTCTGCACCAACGAGAATTTATCAAGCTCGTCGACGTCGCTCGCGTTCCTGCCTCAATTCGACGAACCACCGCCGCCAAATCGCTTTCAATTTTTTTTTTCGGTGGTCTGGGGGGAGGGGGGGATACGTCTCGCAAAACCGTAATACGATTTAATGGAAAATAGTGGATCGTTGTTTGAGCGTTTCAATATTTGAACTGTGAATAATGTACAATAATTACTCCACGTTCGTGCCGTGCAATTCTACAGTTTTATTAACGTACAGTTGTTATATTTAACATCCTGTTCTTGGTTATTGCGAAATGTTCAAATTTGTTCAATCGTAAAAGTAATTTCTTTGCAAAAAGAAACGTACGATGTGATGGAAACGTTGTTTAAAGTCAATGTAATTTTTCGCAGTTTTATATTTTCTAAATTTATTATTTTTTAATCTTCACAGGGCTGTGCCTGGGTCCGTTCGGACCCGAGTACGTCGCGATTGAAAATCGATTGTTTATGTTTAAGAAATTCGTCAAATAAATCGCGGTAACACTGAGAACCTTGTTAAATATCTTTTGTTTAATATTCTGTTAACGATTTTTAGTTAAACGAATTTTTAATCAAGACTCTGGTAAGAGAAAATGTAATTTAGGAAGAAAACGAAAATCTACGATGGTCAAAACAGAACGATACATTCCTAACCTAACCACGAACACTCGAAACTCACTAGAAACTCTCGAAAACACGAAACAATGCTCATTTATAACCGACGACAGAAGAAGCATCGTCTCCGTTCGAATGGGAGACGTAAGAACACAACAATTCACGTTTTCTTCGCGGAGCTTCGATGTATCACGTGTCGAAGCGACGGACGTGGAAAGAAACGACGCCATTTACGAACCTTCGAACTCGTTGCATACCGCCTCTCGTTAATGGCGGCCATCAGAGAGAGACGAGATATAGAGACATAAGGAGGGGAAAGTTTCGTAAATAATAGGCGGGCCCCTTAGCCGACGCGTCAAGCCGGAGGAAAAGCCATTTACTCTTTCCACGGTTCAAGTTACCGCTTCGTGTGCTGTTCGAAACTTTCCGTGTAAAAGTAAATAGAAATTTAAACGGTGTACACGGGAGGCGAGTTATAAGAGCCATGTTGTCCCGTTTCACGCGTCCTTTGATCGCGGCGCCTGTTCAACGCCGCCTAACTTCTCAACCAAGCCTAATTTCTCGCTTCATCTCGTTGCAAAACAATTAAACGCTGACCTATTTGGACAATTCTCGAAAATATTTAGTATCTCGACGTTTCTCTCGAAACTGGAAATATGGAAACATACGGAAGAGGAGAAGAAACGTAGAGTTGTATAGTCGGTGGAAGAGATATAGGATGTTTCAATTATAACCAAGGTCTGAATTATTTTCGATTGTATTGGAAATAAGAAAAAAATTACTAAGAGGAGTTTATATGTGGTTTCAACATGTAAATTTGGTAGTGATAAAAAATTCTTTCTGAAGACATTTTGAAGGTTATTCCCAAGTCATTTTAAGACTTTAGAGTAGAGGGCGACACTGTTCTTAGGGATTTTTTCAATAGAATATCGATCAATGTCAATTTTCCCTCTCTGTTAGTACGATACATATATTTTTCTTTAATAAATAGCGTTCACATTGATATTGCTTGAGTGCATTAAAATTACTGTATTCCTTCCGCCGTCTGATCCACAATAACGATCATAATTTCTAGTTTTCTACAACATACAGAAACAGACACCCTGTACAGCCTTGTGATACCCAAAGTCAGCACACGATATTTTACTTTTTTGGAATTGGAAATGAACCAAAGCTAAAGCATATTTCATCTGTTCCTTATCTTCTCAAATTTCTGTCCATTTTTAAACTTTAACACCTGACTAATTTTTCGACCTCGCTATATTTCTTCCACCAACTATACATTTTGCAGTAATCCACCACAGAACATAGCTCTCGAGCTCGTTCATTAATACAAGTAATTGCATAGTGGCTGCTTTTGCTTGACTTGACGTTTCAATCTACATAATCGAATAATCGATAATCAGAGAATCAGTTTCCATGTAATCGACACTCCAAGTGATGAATGTCACGTAACTGGACTTCTACTGTAAATCACCGACAAAACACTTTTCATTCATGTTTCAATCCTACTTTCGTTATACCTAACTACTTCAATCTGTATAAAAATTCTGAAAATACGATAATTTTCTCTCTGCTATCTGTTCGCTTATTAATAGAATTGAAGCTGTGAGACGATACACAGTCGCATTGCTGAAACTAGATAATAAAGGAATCACCAGAGAGAGAATATTAACACAAAGGTAATAGCACGTTAATACGAATTCGCGGTGTGAATTCGCCGTATCATCTTTGTAGCATTTGCTTGTGGTTGATATAATCTGTTGGAGATCGGTTTCTCGCGTCCTCAGAATACCGCTCGAGCACGTCCCTGAAATGTTAATACTGTTAAGGGAGTTTCTACGTCAACATCCCCCCAACAGTACATACTATAGTTCCCTACATATGGCTGTCTCACATATACATAGCAAATGTCCGCAGAAATACGTACATAGATGTGTAGAATATATAGGTGAGTAACTACCCAATCATTGAAATCTAAGCAAGAGACTGTAGAATGGACATGTGTAACGTGTTACTTCAATGGACGTTTCATGTATTCTTCCACTGTCAGGATTAATGAAGGAAATCTCGAGAATATTGTCAATTTGCAAATTCAATTCTGCGTTAATCACACTTTGAGGTATAGTGTTTAAAAATTGGATGAGTGAAGTGTTCTTCTTTCAAATTTATCGAAGAAGAGGGTAGTGATATTCTTTTAGCCACGTTATAATCGAAAAATTTGGAATGATTGAGGATCTATAGGATCTATGAGTTTGTTAATTATCTTGAATTATTTTTCAGAATTTATCGAAAAAGAAGGCAGTGATATTTTGATAGCTACACTGTCGACGAAAAATTTGGAATGATTAAGGATCTATAGGATCTATAAGATCTATGAGTTTATTAATTATCTTGAGTTATTTTTCAGAATTTATTGAAGAAGAAGACAGTGATATTTTCATAGCTACACTATAATCGAAAAATTTGAAATGATTAAGGATCTATAGGATCTATGAGTTTGTTTATTAGCTTGAAGAATTTTTCAGAATTTATTGAAGAAGAAGGCAGTGATATTTTCATAGCTTCACTATAATCGAAAAATTTAGAATGATTAAGGATCTATAGGATCTATGACTTTCTTAATTAGCTTGAAGACTTTTTCAGAACGAAACTTTATCGCACAAGAATACTTTAGTATTCATATTTATGTTACTAACTTCAAATCGATAGAAGAATTTCAAGCTTCGGTATAATCTACATTCACCGTGAATCTTTTAAAGCGTATTTCAGAAATACCTGGAAAATTCCAGGTTTATCTTACTTAACGACTTTCAGCGAGGCAAAACAGAGATCCATTCGCAGCGACAAACGAATGGACAATAATGTTCCACTGAAGTTCCTCTTGAGCGTCATAAAAAAGTGAAACAAAGACCAACGAACGACTAGCGGGCACTGTCTTTGCGCAACTAGCTGTACCTGAACATCAGCACAGAGAGACAATAAAGTTCCAATCATTTCCATTCGAGTTTTCCACGGTCTTTGTGGCAATTTACGGTCAACGTTGGTTCGCCTCAGAGGCGAAGTTTGAACGTTCCTCGAGTGATACCGCGGGGGATTGAGAAATACACAATTAAATCTCGAGTATATCGGTTCGTTATTTGCCGTGGGAGCCTGGTTGCAACGTGGCAACGATCCTCAAAGAGGCAATTAAAATGGATGAGACATCGAGACGCGGTACGACAGGATCGAGAGAACGTCGTTGCTCGGTATAAAGCTCTAGGAGAACCGACGAAAACAGCTAGCTAGAC